GTGTGTTATTACTGGAGTCTTGCTGTACTTTGTGCATTTCTTCCAGACCTGTTCAGTAATCCAGTGTGAAACTGTGAGATTCCTGTAATAAAGACCAATGACTACTGTTTTCTCTCCTTGTGGCAAGGTGACTGGTCTTGTCCCTCCCCTCACTCTCTGCACAGGCTGTGATAGGTGGAGAGATTGAGAAAATTTCTTCTCAGACCTCAATGAGAAGTGTTGAGAAATCTCCCTAATGGAAGCACAGACTAAAAAAAAAACATGTCAGAAGTTCTAACTTTTTCCCACTCTTCCAGTAATCCAGTGTGAAACTATGAGCTTCCTGTAATAAAGACTGATGACTACTGTTTTCTCTCCTCATAACTTTTTCCCACTCTTCCACAACAACAAAAATTGATTTTCAACTTCCCTTTAAACTATTATGGTCTTGTTTAGCAGATATTCTAAAATTCTGTAAATGAGGAACCTCAGTGTCAGCCTAATTTAGTTAATTTAGCTAATTTAGTTAATTAAGTTACAGTTTACTTGGCTAAAGTGCAGTAATTACAACAGCACATCCTATGAACGGGGCCGGCCTGACTTTGTAGTAAGTACATGTGAAAATAAAATTCCTCCACCATCCCACAAGCTCATGCTCTACCACTGTATCCTTTATGATTAACTATCATATTGTTCAAATGTGGACACATTACCTCTTCTTCTTCCAGTAAGATGACACGGACCACTTTTATGTGAACTGCATTACCAATGCTTGGATCATGAAACAGTCCCGCGACCTATAAGAGATATTGGGAAATTCATTTTCACCTGTGAAGATAATGATGTAGGCTAAAACAAAACCAATCTACAGCAAAATATTGAGTGCCTTTGTGTGAACTGTGATTGTTGAAATCCAGAGGCCCATACCAGTTTCATAGGAGTGGTGAAACATATATATTATCACCACACATTTTGTATCTGCCCCAGACAGTCATAAGACCTGGATTTATGGAATGGAATGGGCATTTGTGAAATGGATTCCAGATTGGTGGAAGCATAGCATAGGGGGAGGATGTTCTTTTCTGGTCAATGCTCATTGAATATGCAGTGAACTGTGACATAGGCTGTTCAATAAAATAGGATGGGACAGGTTAGGACTAGTCAGTTGGGATCTATTGGGGTGGTAGCACTGACATGAAGTTTTCCTCTTGTACCTGATGAGTTCCCATCTTCCTACCCTATTGGCATGTGATTGTCACAGCTTTGTTGGCTGGGTTTTCCTCGTCAGCAGTCAAACAGTACCTGATTGAAGCCCACAATGGAATTTGGTTGGCACAGGCTTTTAGACTATGTCATCCTGGTTGGATGTCATAGTTCATTTTAGACTGGTTATCAGATCTCTTTTTTATTTGTCAGTATGCTTGAATACATAAACTGTGTAAAATTATTAGAACTGTGGATTTGCCTTTATAACCTAATAATTTCTACAATACAGACAATAATAATAACCTGATAAAGGTTTTAACCCTTTACTGTTTATGGTCCTAGTTACCTCTAATTGAAGTATTCTGCATGTTACCAGTCACTATAGCCCACGGCAACATACTGTACCTTAGGTGTATTATGGTGCAATTCATTCTATCGATGTGTAGCGCCCTTCTAGTTAGCTAGGGGGAGCTCTAGTTCAACTGTTAGTAAGGAGGGCTGAGTAGCAGCCTGGGTGTGATAGCCAGGTGGGTCAAATTTAAGTCAGTAGCTGAGAGGCTTGTAGAAATATCTAGAAACAGTGGGTGGAGGTAAGGAGTGGCTGGTCTGTGCTATGATCCTGGCCAATCCCCAACAGGAGGCTTGGCAAGGACAGCCTTAAAGAGTAACTGAGCATGCTCCGCAGTAGGGGGAGTTGGAACGGGGAGCTGGGATGAGAGTTTGGGTGGAAGAGGAAGTGAGAAGCTGGAGAGCAGGAGCTTGGGAGGGGGCCCAGATGGAGAGGGACTCACCTAAAGGCAGTGGAGCTTGGAAGGAGGAAACGTCAGGACCACGCTGGCCCCCAAAGTGAGGACCACTTGTGCAGCAGGGAAGGAGCGGCCCAGTTAGAAGGCCTGGTAGCAGCCAACAACCCAGCAGCTGCACAGGAGAAGAACTGAGTGAATAAACCTGCACCCCCTGGGCCAATAAGGGGAAAGGAGCATGCTGGTGGGAAACGGGATCCCTCAGTGGCAGATACTGGATCCCCTGGCCAAGGATTCACCCAGAACATCTGGATTAGGAGAATCTTGGGTCTGGGGTGGTACTACAGGAGATGCTGGCTAGCTCTCCAAAAAGAGGATTTTTGTCTAGAGACTTGTACATAGTTCCAGGAAGTTGTCCTCAGTTGCTATACCCTTGGGCATCCTGTACACCACTTACCCCATCCTAGATCTAATTCCCCAAATAAAATCCAAAAAACAAGCTCAAAGGCTGGTTACTGTCTCCTGGATGCAAGTCTTAATGGAAAATGCCTGGCTGTGCAGGACTATAAGGGGACCCAAAACTTCAGCGACTCCTAAGGGGGTAGTGCTACAGATGGATGTGTAATATTGCAGTGTGCTGCTAAAAAATATTGATTAGTATTAACGCAAATATATGGTGTAAATGTACCCTTAGTGAAAAAGAGACTCCCCCTTAGTTCTTGTTCCCAATGAGAAGAAATCTCCTCAATGCGGTCACAGAATGCAATGATAACCTGAAAGTACCATAGTTCTATTCCTTCCTCAAGAGGTTAGACATAGTAACCTTAATAATATCTCCATAGCTCCCAACTGTCCTTGGTTTGAATAGGCTGTCCTTATTTTGGAACCAAATCCCTCTGTCCCTGTGAGATCCCCCTGGAGACTGGAAATCACAGTAGTAGGCACTGCTACTACAGTGATCTCTACTAGCTTTAGGCAACCACTTGGCACAGAACCATAATGCTAGTGGAGTTTACTGAAGTAGCGGTGTCTACTACAGTGATTTCCAGTTCACAGAGGGATCAGCCAGGTATACTAATGGAAGTATGTAAAAATTGCCACATCTAAACTTCAGCTGTAATAGAAAATCAGCAGACATTTCTGAACATTCCAGCATATTCTTTTAGAACCACGTTGGTAAATTTTATTTCATACACTGAACTTACCATATTCATCACAGTGAAGATATAGGACTCCACATTCTCACTGCCGTGATATTCAATCATTTTGGTGTCAGCAACAACCAAAGTTTCCACCCATCTCTCTTTGCTGATGGATCGTGGGGAAATCCTTCTGCCTTTCATGTACTTCCTCTCCCACCTCTCCCGCTGAGCCTCTTGTTGCAGAACATACTTGTAGCTATCTGAAATAAAGTAGGATTCAGATTATAACTCCCATTAACACAACTGAACACCAATGCATATTGAGGTCTTTCATAACTCTCATTAACACCACTGTTGTGGGGGAGGTCTTTTCTTATCGCCACTGACACCATTGTTTGGGGTCTTTAATTACTTTCACTCCAATGTTGGAGGTCTTTTATTACTTTCTTTTCATTATGTTTTATTTTATCATAGAGAGATGTACAAATACAGTGTACAGGTAGGTGCACAAAAGCTGAGGAACCAGAATGTCAACAAATATCAATTATATCAAAAGTGATACAAACAACAAGGTGTTACAAACAGCAAGGAATTATTATTAACATTTGATCAATAGAGCGAAGCATTGAGAGAAGTTGTGGCCATATGACCAATACAGCAGGTTGACCTTAGCACCTAGCACAGCAACAATCAGTTAAGAAGGAAGGGAGGAAGGACGGACGGAAAAGAAAAGGAAAGAAAGAAAAAAAGAAAGAAAGAAAGGGGGAGGAGGGTTGGGAAAAGGGGAGGGGGGAGAGAAGGCAGAGGAGTAAAAGAGAACTGATGGAAAGGGGTCATTTAATACTTTCAACGACACCAATGCTGATTGGACTTTTATTACCCTACTGACACCATTAGTGGGGCACCATTCTTCCCACTAACTATTGATACAAGACCACTTATTACGCCTACTGATAACTGATACTGGGGCCTATTTACCCCCACTTACAATTGATGTAGGAACATGCTTACAATAAATACTGTAGCTCATTAAGTGAAATGGAGAGTTTCCACTTCAGAGAATTGTTGCAGAAAAAATACAGTTTTACCAAAATCACTGCATTCACACCTAATGTTCTTCCACATGATATTATTAGATGAATATAAAGTTTTTATCATACATCACAATATAGATACCCCAACACAATAACACAAGCTATTCCACTGCACATGCATTGCATGCAATACAATACAACACTAACATGTTATGATGCGCTGTGTTGCCAAAAATGGTGCATGCCCATTTTTTTTTTACATTTTAGTGCATTATCAGTTCATTCATTGGTGTGGAACTTAGATTTTTATACTCAAATGATATTAATTCAATCCAAAGCCACTGTTCCAGGTCTCTGGTTCACAAGAGCAGCCCAGCCCAGTCATCACCTAGCCGCCTTATTGGGATACCGCCAGTACTTTTTTGTAAATACATTAATTAGTATCCAAGTATTTCTATCTAAGGATCCAGCAATATCCAAACTACTACTTCAAGCATTTTTTTTTAAAGTGGAACTAAACCCATCAGTATAACAGTAAAAAAAACCCCAAACAGTTACATTCCCAGTGTGCCCCCGCCATCATACTTGCTAGAGATGAGCGAATCGAACATGGCGAAGTGGAATTCGTTTTGAAGATTAGGAAAAATTTCGATTCGCGCCAAATCCGAAAATTAGCAAACTTCGGATGCACGAATCGAATTTTCCTAAAAATGGCGGCGACATGTGTGGCGACGGAGCGGGGATCTCTGGGAAGGCGCGCAGACAAGGCGCGCTGACCCATAATGCATTCATTCATGACATGTGATCGCATTAGCCAATCAGCAGCCAGCCAGCCAGCACTGTGTAATGGTGGAGCTATAAATCGCGGCCATCTTAGAATTCTCCATTAGCCTCCGGTCATTCAAGAGAGACAGACCTGTCTGTATTAGGGACAGAGTTAGGGCCCACAGGGAGACTTTAGGGGCACAGAATCGTTTACTCAGGGACACAGAATTGTTACTCAGGGACACAGAATTGTTACTCAGGGACACAGAATCGTTACTCAGGGACAGACACAGAATTGTTACTCAGGGACACAGAATCGTTACTCAGGACACAGAATCGTTACTCAGGGACACAGAATTGTTACTCAGGGACACAGAATCGTTACTCAGGGACACAGAATTGTTACTGAGGGACACAGAATCGTTACTCAGGGACACAGAATCGTTACTCAGGGACACAGAATCGTTACTCAGGGACACAGAATCGTTACTCAGGGACACAGAATCGTTACTCAGGGACACAGAATCGTTTGTTACTCAGGGACACAGAATCGTTACTTTCTGCTTCACAACCACTATTGAATTAAAGAGTATGTCACACAACACGCAGAGGAGTGGCAGAGGAGGCAATGTTTCAGGAGCGAGCAGACATGGCAGCAGAGGAAGGGGTCGAGGCAGCACTAGTCGCAGCCAGAGGCCAGTGCTCCCGGTGTCATCCAGCGGTCGTGTCTCCACCGACAACCCTGCCGTCATCGATTGGTTGACTCGGTCGTCTTCCTCTTCCCAGGTCACCTCTGACACCTACAGCCAACGGTCGGTGGTACGTCAGACACAACCGTTAGTTGGCATGGCCCGGGAGCAAGCCCACTGAAATCACGTGTCCTCTACCTGCCCCTGTCCTTTGGTGTTCCCCTCACCAAGCGAAGTATCGCATGCTGTGGGCTCAGCCCCACTGTACAGTGAGGAAGAGCTAACAGAGTGCGGTCAGGAACGGGGGGAGACATCCGCCTCTTCAGCAGCCAGGCGAAGAAGTACTGGCGAGGAGAGTGGCTCGGTAGCCGGTCTAGAGACAGGTCTGTCTCCTGACCCACACGCAGCCGAGGGGGCTAGTAGTGACGCGGAGACCCTAATTGATGATGATGAGGCTGATCACACTTGGCAGCCTCGTCGTCATCAGGCTATTGCTTCCGCATCATCAGGAGAAGAGGGTGCCAGCTTGCCAGCGAGCAAAACAGTCGGTGGGTTGCCCAGGAGGCAGCAGGGTCGCAGCAGTGTCAGTGGAGGCAAATGGCCACGGAGTAGAGCACCAGCTCCACTGCAGCCTACCACCACGGCCAGTAGTGGTGCCGGTGTGCATGGAGGAAGTAGCAGTCAGCCAGTGAGGAGTAGCGGGGGCAAAGTTTCCTACTCGGCGGTGTGGCAATTTTTCGTCAAGCCGCCCGAGGAAGTAAACGTAGCCGTATGTCGACTATGTTGCCAGAAAGTCAAGCGTGGCCAGGGGGCCCATGTTGGGACTACAGCGTTGCGTCAGCATATGCAGCGTTGCCATTCGGTGGCCTGGGAAAACCGTGATAAAGATACGGCGGTTCTGCCTGCCCCAGCCCCCGCTCCATCACCCGCTCCGTTACTTGCTCCGTCACCCGACGTCAATTGCCCTCTATCAGCCAGTCAAGGCTCCAAACACCTCTGCTGAGGGGAGTTGTCGCTCGTTGGCATCTTCCGCTCGTTCAGATGCTCCTTCTCCTGCTACTCCTCTTCACGGATTCCGTCAGCAGTCTTTCTTGGAATCCGTTTCCAAGAGACAACAGTTTGCGAGCACGCACCCGACGGTGCAGAAGCTGAACGTCCTCCTGTCCAAGTTGCTGGTGCTGCAGTCCCTCCCTTTCCAAGTGGTGGACTCAGCACCTTTCCGAGAAATGATGGCTTGTGCCGAGCCGCGGTGGAGAGTGCCAAGCCGGAATTTCTTCGCCAAAAAGGCAGTGCCAGCCCTGCATTCACATGTAGAAGAGATGGTGGGCCAGTCTTTTCCATTTTGTCATAGGGTGCTGTATGGCCTCCCATTGCTGCTGCCTCCACCGCCACCCTGCGCCATGTGCCTGTCGTCTGCTCACGCTGCTGACGGCTTCCGCTTTTTAACCGAGGCCTGTGTTTGGCTTCTGAATACTGCTGCATCCACCGCCACCCTGCGCCATGTGTCTCTGTCGTCTGCTCACGCTGCTGACGGCTTCCGCTTTTTAACCTAGGCCTGTGTATGACTTCCGAATACTGCTGCCTCCACCGCCACCCTGCGCCATGTGTCTCTGTCGTCTGCTCACGCTGCTGACGGCTTCCGCTTTTTAACCTAGGCCTGTGTATGGCTTCCGAATACTGCTGCCTCCACCGCCACCCTGCGCCATGTGCCTCTGTCGTCTGCTCACGCTGCTGACGGCTTCCGCTTTTTAACCGAGGCCTGTGTTTGGCTTCCGAATACTGCTGCCTCCACCGCCACCCTGCGCCATGAGCCTCTGTCGTCTGCTCACGCTGCTGACGGCTTCCGCTTTTTAACCTAGGCCTGTGTATGGCTTCCGAATACTGCTGCCTCCACCGCCACCCTGCGCCATGTGTCTCTGTCGTCTGCTCACGCTGCTGACGGCTTCCGCTTTTTAACCTAGGCCTGTGTATGGCTTCCGAATACTGCTGCCTCCACCGCCACCCTGCGCCATGTGCCTCTGTCGTCTGCTCACGCTGCTGACGGCTTCCGCTTTTTAACCTAGGCCTGTGTATGGCTTCCGAATACTGCTGCCCTCCACCGCCACCCTGCGCCATGAGCCTCTGTCGTCTGCTCACGCTGCTGACGGCTTCCGCTTTTTAACCTAGGCCTGTGTATGGCTTCCGAATACTGCTGCCCTCCACCGCCACCCTGCGCCATGTGTCTCTGTCGTCTGCTCACGCTGCTGACGGCTTCCGCTTTTTAACCTAGGCCTGTGTATGGCTTCCGAATACTGCTGCCTCCACCGCCACCCTGCGCCATGTGCCTCTGTCGTCTGCTCACGCTGCTGACGGCTTCCGCTTTTTAACCGAGGCCTGTGTTTGGCTTCCGAATACTGCTGCCTACACCGCCACCCTGCGCCATGTGTCTCTGTCGTCTGCTCACGCTGCTGACGGCTTCCGCTTTTTAACCTAGGCCTGTGTATGTCTTCCGAATACTGCTGCCTCCGCCGCCACCCTGCGCCATGTGCCACTTTCAGGTCTCCTTACACTGTTGGTGGGTTCCATTATGTGATAGGGTGCTGTATGGCCTTCCATTGCTGCTGCCTCCACCGCCACCCTGCGCCATGTGCCTCTGTCATCTGCTCACGCTGCTGACGGCTTCCGCTTTTTAACCGAGGCCTGTGTTTGGCTTCCGAATACTGCTGCATCCACCCCCACCCTGCGCCATGTGCCTCTGTCGTCTGCTCACGCTGCTGACGGCTTCCGCTTTTTAACCGAGGCCTGTGTTTGGCTTCCGAATACTGCTGCATCCACCGCCCGCCCACTGCTGCTGCCAGGCCCGTAATCTGTCATGGGCCCCTGTACCGCCTCCTCATGCTGCTGCCAGGTCCAGAGTGTGTCATGGGTCCCTGTACGGCCTCCCATTGCTGCTGTCTCCATCGCCACACTCTGCCATGTGCCACTTTCAGGTCTCCTCACACTGCTGGTGGGTTCCATTTTGTCATAGGGTGCTGTATGGCCTCCCATTGCTGCTGCCTCCACCGCCACACTGTGGCTCCACACTCTGGTTTTGGCCCCGTGACTGCCCAAATGAGTGAAGTGTGCGGTGATTCTAAGATCGACGGCACTCATCTGCATGTCATACTGACTGACAGTATTAGTTCTCTTCCCCAGCAGACTCCAAGGGCATTTAAATTAAAGGTACAGTGTTCTGCACTAATATAAAGGCTCTCTGAAGCCTAGAAACACCCTTTTTATAAGTTAAATTCGCAGCGAATATATTCGCCTCGAATCGAATTTATTCCGCGAATTCGGCAAATCAGCCGAATCGAATTTTTGAATAATTCGCTCATCTCTAATATTTGCTTGTGCTATCAAAGAAACTGTAAAACCATCAAATGTCTGTTGTTATAACTGATCACATGTGCAGCATAATGGCAGTTGCAGATCAAACAGAGGCTAAGAGGGCTTCCTTGGCTGAAAATGATAGGAGGGTTTAGTTTTACTTTAAATTGGCTGCCTTTGTGCAGTAACAGTAATGTGCCAATTAATCGAATGCACCAAAATGCTGAGGTCTGAATGGGCCCTAAATATAGCCCTCCTCTGATGTGTATAAGCATGGTGTGCAAAGTATAAAGACTTTGTGAAAAGTTAGGAAACCCATAGCAATCAAACTGAAATCATTATCATTATTTCTATGGCTTATCTGTATACTGCACATTATAATTACACCTGTAAAATCATTACGCTTGTACATAATAAATAAGCCTGTTTCATAACTTTAACTATGATTTTATTTATATTCATTAAAAACGATACACATTAATTATCCGATCCCACAGAAAGCTGCTAATTGACTTTCCTGCCAAGCTTCTGACGTGTGTCACCGTTATGGTTTTATTATATTCAGATTGATCGAGGAGGAGTAGAAATTTTCATCAGCAGGTAAACACTCTAGTAACATTCCCTGGTGACATCAAATGGACATTTTACAATGACAAATAGCTGATGAGCGATTTACTTGATGGGAGAAACAGGATGATATTCTGAACATAAATTTTCTATGGTTTATGACCTCAACAAGGTACAACAAATCAGTAAAAAATCCACAGCGGATAAATATATTTTTTCCTGTGTATTTACCATAATGTCCTTGTACCAATGTTTTTCTTTCTTTTTGTAAAGAAAAAGGATATTGAACCTTTAATTCCAAACACCATTCATAGTGTAGCACTACCTCCTTAGGAGTCGTTAGAGATATGGGCCCCCCTATAGTCCTGCACAGCCAGGCAACACACATTTCCTCCACTCAGTCTTGCATTAGGAGACAGTAACCAGTCCTTGAACTTGTTTTTTTGGAGTTTTATTAGGATAATTGAACTTGGGTGGGGTAAGGGGTGTATGGGATGCCCAAGGGTAATGAGGACAACTGAGGACAAACTCCTTAGCAACTATGTACAAGTCTTTACAGCAAACAGTCTCTTGAGGATGCTAGCCAGCATCTCCTATAGTACCACCCCAGACCCCAGATGAATTATCTCCTCATCCAGCTGTACTAGGTGTTTCCCTGGGAAGGGGATCCAGTGCCTACCACTGCAATGTGAACAGTCCTGGTTAAAAAGCTAATCCAGTTTCCCACCAGAGTGCCTCTTTCCCCTTACTGGCCCAGGGGATGCAGGTTTACTCACTTAGTCCTTTCTCCTGTGCTGCTGATGGGTTGGTGGCTGCTGCCAGGCCTTCTAGCTGGGCCACTCCTCCCTGCTGCATGGGTGGTCCTCACTCTGGGGGCTGATGAAGTCCTGAGCTTTCCCCTTTCCAAGCTCTACTGCCTGTAA